TGTGTATATTTCACTGACCTATTTTTGCCCACTGCCAAAAGACCAAAAAGCTGCTACAGCAATGCTGACCACAAATTGTTTGTTTGGAAAGCTAGGCATTTATTTTTCTACCAGTTCCCCAATTACCTGCGTCTGTGTCAGGCCCAGTTTGGCTGCCAGGTCGGCCCGCTCAGGCAGGGCAAGGTACTGAGTTTGCTGGAAGCGCTGGTTGAGTGCCTGGAGCTGCAGGCTGGAGTAGATGGTCCGAGGCTTCCTGATCTTCTTCCCTTTCCCGTTCAGCCTCACCTCCCCGTTCTCTATGACTGTCGTGGGCTTCTCGTGATCTGAGTGACCAGAGAGGACAGAAGAACGTCCCTTAAATATCAAAACATGTGAAATCAAACAAATTGCTAAATTAATTCTTTTAATTTTAATTAGTTCTGTCAGCATGTTTACTCTCAGAAAGTAGCAACCAGTTGTATGAGGGGAGTACACAGAACAGCAGATTCTAAACAAACAAACAAACAAACAAACAAACACCATCAGATCACAGAAAACCTGGGCACTTAGGGAAAGAAAACTCCAACACAGGGTGGGCAATCCTGGCCCTTGGGGGCCACTATCCTGCATGTTGGACTTGTTTCTCTGCTCCAACACACCTGATAAAGTGATGGAATCACCTCTTCAAGTTCTGCAGAAAACTGTCAATCACCCATTCATTCAAATCAGGTGTGTTTGAACAGAGAAACAAGTAAAAAAAAAACAATTTCCCGTTGGGGTTAATGAAGTATTTTTGAATAGCAGCCCTTGAGAACCATTGAGTGCCCACCCCTGGTCTAACACAAGGAGAGTTCAGGCGGACGCCCAAGAACTGTACAGTCCAGCGAGACAGAGAGGTCACCCCTAAACCCCAGGAACCTGCTGCCCAGACAGTCAATCATTCAGGGGATGACGGCTGATAATAGGGGCCCTTGAGACTCAGTAGGCTTTGATGCTGATGCTTCTGCTCAGGTGCTAAGCTGCTAAGAGAGTTAAGAAATACCAGAGGGCTGCTCTAGGGGTGCAGCAGGCTCTGGGGCCTCCAGATGTGCTGGGGAGATAAAAAGCATGGAAAGTTATTCCAGCTCACTTTGTACTCGCCCCACGCTCCTGAGGACCCCCGGAATGTCTGAGGGCAGCAACATGGGCTGAAAATGGTGAAGACAAATCTGATGGTGCAGTCCTAGAAACTGTTGGGCTTTACCAGCAATTCTGTGCTTCTGGGAAACCTCACTGACCTACACAAGGTCAGGTCAGTGAAAAAGGCCCGACTGATTCTGGAGGACCCTGATCACCCACTCCATGGTGAGTTCAGGTTGCTTCGATCTGGATGCAGGAATCAGCTGCTCAGATGTAGAACTAATAGATTTACAGACTTAAAAACTCATTTATCCCTGCTGTGAGGTGATTAAATCGCCAAATGGTTGTCCCAGGGTAGCGACTTTCTCTCTGCTTCCTCTTCCAGTTGAGCCGATTTATCAGCTCCGTGAGCCAAAACCTTAAAAAAAGAGTGAAGTTCCCGCTGGGTTTCTTCTGGGTCAGCATTCTAGCATGGTAGGGGTTGGAGGCAGAACCCCGAGTGCAAGCAGGACAGCGAGGATCTCAAAAAAGAAACTCGTTTATTAAACAGAAAGTGCTGATGAGGGTAAAATTCTGTACAAAACATAGAACTCTGAGAAAAAAACACAAAGAAAACTGTAACAAATATAAAGAAATACTAACAAACATAAATTCCTAGCACCTGGAGGGGAGAGGAACAGGTGAGTGTGGGCGGGGCAGAAACAGGAGAACAGTGAAACTCAAGTAATAACACCGAAGATAAACAAACTAACAAAAAAGCACAGATCTTCACACCTGAAGGATACATAAACTGTACCTGAGGACACTATAATGTATTTTATTATCTCCGACTGTTTGTGGAAAAGAGCTTTGGGGGATATTAAGGAACAAAAACACATCAATCATACTCATTTACAGAGTTTCAAATGCTGGTTTTTGTCTGAAAGCTTTAAGAAGTGACATACTGACTTTGAAAGTACCCTGATCTAAACTGGATATTAAAAAACTCCAGTTCTTTGATCCCTGATAGAAGTTTGAGATAAAGGGACATCCGATTTTTTTCTTTCCTTTCTACTGAAACTTTTAACTCTGTAAAACAATAATCACTGTAAAACTGTTAGCCTCTATGTGAACCAAAGTTAGAGCTGCTTTGTGACGTTGTGTGATATGATGTTGATTTAAGCTGCTGTATACACTCAGTCCATACATCAGTGAGTTCAAAACAAATCCAACTAATCCTCAACAAATCAGACCGGCTTACATGGRTTCAGTACACACAGCGAAGAAGAGAGGGGTTTTCTTTCGTTTTTTTTTTATTTCTTAAATAAGTCCACACTTTAGAGATTTTTGCCTTCTCAGATCTTTGTAATGGCAGAAGCAGCCGAGGCCCCACAAGACRTTTTGGATTATGTTGCGCTGCAGCTCGGAAGAGACCAGAACACCGAGCCGAAACAGTCCAACACTGCTGAGGCGACARAACCAAGGAGAGCCAGGAAAATATTTAACACCAAGGTTTAACGCTGAGAGCAAAGCTGTACCGGGTGTAAAAATCTGCTGAGAAAAGTCCACTTTTAATATTTTCTGACATTTGCGATGTCAGAACTGCCCCCCCC